GTGGGTAATCCCATCTGCTGCTCTGGAGGTCTATTCTTAGCATAGGCTATGCAGATCATAGCAGTAAAGTCCTAGAGCTCCATGTGCTGCCTTCACAGGGTGAATATAAAACTTTCATTTCAGATTCACATATAAACAGAAATAATTACATTTTCTGCCCTGAGAGTTATAAACAGATAAAAATAACCCAATAACTAGTCACATAGAAGCTTTAACCAGTTTATGTCATTTAGAAGTCATCTGCAGTATTTTTTTATTTTTCAAATCTGCACCTTTTATTAAATGAATTCCTGGTGATCCTGCCAAGAGGGTCCTTGTTTGGGGTGACAACACTCTGCTCTCATCTGCCAATCACACGCTGTCATCCTGACCACAAGGTTTGAACACACAGACATGGTCCACTGTTGTCACCCAGCATGCATAACACAGGAGGTGGCTGTAAAAAAGCTGCAGGGGATCAGCAGCACTGAGATGCAATAAAAGATGTAATAAAAGTATTTGAAAAAACACAGTGAGAAAATATAATGCAGCTGAGCTATACAACAACTTTATTTAACACAGACAAAACATACAGTCTTAAGGAAGAAGTGAGCCTACAGCGCCACCCAGCGGACAGCCGTAGGAACTTCCATCTAACAACACCCAGGTCTTCTCCATACAGCGGCCGCTCTCAGTCTCCAGCACAGCGCTGTGTGTGACCCTCACACGTCTCCTTCCATAGGGCTCTCATACGTCACCTCCGCCTCCCCCAGCACTGACAGCTGTCACCTTCTACGTCACGTCACCTGCCGCTCCTGAAACGTCCTCCTGTTCCGCTGGGGTCATGTGACCGAGAGAGGCCGATTTCCGGGGTACGGCGGCCGGCCAGGCTCATCTTTAGCGAGCTGCGGAGCTTTCGGGCGCTGAGCTGTGAGTGGGGTCCGGTTATAGGGCGCCGTGTGAGGGGAGAGAGTGCTGTGTACAGGCCCTACCCTGTCCCCTCCATTCTCACCATTGTAGTGACCCGGGAGGGGATTCTTCCTGAACACTGACAGCCATGGTCTGTGTCATCCAGAATTGTGGACAGTGTTACACTGGGGTCACATGTCTTCCTCTATGAATAGTCTGCTTGGCACAGAGATTAGGGGTCAAACCATTCTCTTGGAGCTTGACTGGGAAACTCCCAGAATGTTTCTAAGGTCGTTGCTAAGAGAGCCCCAGCTGAGAGAGCCGCTTCACACGTGTTTTGAACCGCATCCAGTTTGCATGACATGTGAAAGAACATTGCTTCCTATGGTGCCTATTCACATACACTATTTTGCCAAAAGTATTGGGACACCCCTCCAAATCATTGGATTCAGGTGTTCCAATCCCCTCCATGGCCACAGGTGTATAAAATCAAGCACCTAGGCATGCAGACTGCTTCTACAAACACTTGTGAAAGAATGGGTCGCTCTCAGGAGCTCAGTGAATTCAACCGTGGTACCATGATAGGTTGTCATCTGTGCAATAAGTCCATCTGTGAAATTCATTTGCTACTAAATATTCCACGGTCAACTGTTAGTGGTATTATAACAAAGTGGAAGCAACTGGGAACAACAGCAACTCAGCCATGAAGTGGTAGGCCATGTAAAATGACAGAGTGGGGTCAGTACATGCTGAAGCGCACAGTGTGCAGAAGTGGCCAATTGCCTGCAGAGTCAATAGCTAAAGACCTACAAACTTCATGTGGCCTTCAGATTAGCACAACAACAGTGTGTAGAGAGCTTCATGGAATGGGTTTCCATGGCCGAGCAGCTGCATCCAAGCCTTACATCACCAAGTGCAATGCAAAGCATTGGATACAGTGGTGTAAAGCACACTGCCACTGGACTCTAGAGCAGTGGAAATGTGTTCTCTGGAGTGATGAATCATGCTTCTCTGTCTGGCAATCCAATGGCTGTATCTGGGTTTGGTGGTTGCCAGGGGAATGGTACTTTCCTGACTGCATTGTGTCCAGTGTAAAGTTTGGTGGCAGGGGCATTATCCTGTGGGGTTGTTTTTCAGGGGTTGGGCTTGGCCCCTTAGTTCCAGTGAAGGGAACTCTTAAGGTGTTGGCATACCAAGACTTTTTGGACAATAGTTTGGGGATGGCCCCTTCCTGTTCCAACATGACTGCGCACCAGTGCACAAAGCAAGGTCCATAAAGACATGAATGAGTGAGTTTGGGGTGGAGGAACTTGACTGGCCTGCGCAGAGTCCTGACCTTAACCCGATAGAACACCTTTGGGATGAATTAGAGTGGAGACTGTGAGCCAGGCCTTCTCATCCGACATCAGTGCCTGACCTCACAAATGCACTTCTGGAAGAATGGTCAAACATTCCCATAGACACACTCCTAAACCTTGTGGACAGCCTTCCCAGAAGAGTTGAAGCTGTTATAGCTGCAAAGGGTGGGCCAACTCAATATTGAACCCTACAGACTAAGACTGGGATGCCATTAAGTTCATGTGCGTGTAAAGGCAGGCCGACCAATACTCTTGGCAATATAGTGTATGTCCGGTGCGGATTCGGTGCAAATTGAAAAAGAGTCCAGTCAGTTTTCCGAGCTGTCGGGTGCGATTTCAGGCCCATTGACTTCTATGGGAGCTCTTCTGAGTCGCACATGTCTTTCAGTTGTAAACAGGATAAAATCCTGACCTGATCCTAGCCTGAAAAACTACTTTGTTAGCTGTAAAAATGGACCTTCAATTCGCACCTCACATGTGTAAATCCACACTTACTGTTCACTTTCACCATCACAGGAGTGAGCTGTCATGCTGAGCTCAGAGCCAGTACATCAGGGAAGGGAAAGAGCATGTGAGGAAGTTTGAACCAGAGAAAGAGCTCACTGCTGTGATGGTGGAGGTGAGCAATACTAGCTGGACATCTCTTGGCAACGCTCTGCGAGTTTTCCAGGCAGGCTTCATGAGGTATGTAAATGGCCTACACCTATTAGCAAGGGATTATTCCATTTTAGTCAAAGCTGCCCAGTATGTTTTTATCTACAGACACCTCTGCTCTGTGCAGGCAGCTTTTTGTTAAAGGTAAACTACACCTTTAAGATATTAATGAGGAGCTTCACCCCCCATCCACATGCTTTTTTCTCTCTCTTCTCAACCCCCCTCTCCCCATCCTTCATTCTTTGCAGGGTTATTCTTCAATACAAATGCTTGCGTAGCCAATCCAATGTTGCCCTGCTGTGATTTGGTGCTCCCCTGTCACACACCGGGTCCCATGCCACCATCTTTCTTTCCTATGTCATCAGGAGCCAGCCATCTCTTCATGTTCTTGTGGCTGACCCCGTAGTGATGCTTTGCCAGAACCGCCCTCCAGCAGCTGTGTGTCCCTGTTCCTGCACACTCTGGGGATTGTCCAGGAGGCTGCAGGAGCTGGGGACACTACATTTCCTCCTAGACAAGAATGGAGGCAAGGGGAGAGCCCAAATTGTAAACAATGGAAAATAATCTGCTTTTTAAAAGTCGAAGTCCAGTTGACACATAACTAAGCTGAAACCTACTCCCACCCCTGTAACTACCCTGTAAGAGAAAGATGTCAATATGTACCTATTCTCAGGGCACTCTGGTTCGGTTGTGTGATCCGCTCCCAGTGCCAGTTTCAGTGTAGAGGAGGGACAGCCGACAAAGGATGCCCCATAGTAAGCCTATGAGTGATGTCACCACCCTGGCTCTACAGCCATTGCCTCTGCTTTCTCTTCTCCTCACAAACCGGCCACAGGGGAGATCATGTGACAGGACCAGAGCGCCCTTTGATTAGGCAAGTATACACATCTTTCCTTTACTGGGTTGTTGGTGTAGGGCTTAGAATGGGGTGGGTGCAGGTTAAGCTTAGTTAGTATTTGACTGGACCTCCACTCCAACGCCCAAACCGAGTTTTACAACATTGATATGTCTTCATAAAACTGTACGTATCATGGCAACTACTTAGTGTATCCAAGTGAATTATAGCTTTTTTTTTCTTTAGTACAGATTGGGCTTTTGTTTGGTTGTAAATGGTAATTGATATTTCCTGATTTTTGTTTTATTATGAAAGAAAAAACTGGTCCAAAATCATACCAAATATAATTTTGTAAATGTAGCTGTATATTATTATTCCGCTACCATGAACCACTACCAGAAAAAATACTAAATAAATTCTCCCTCTCCTGACAATCCTAGTGATGCCACATGTGTATGTGTTATTAGTATACCATATTAGGGTCAAGAAACAACAGTGTGCTATTTTTTGTTTTTGTCCTACCAAAACACACTGACACAAAATATAAAACTTTCTTTTTTTTTCTTACCTAAAGCACACTGACACTTACTCAAATGTTCACTAAACTAGATCAAGCCCTGAACTAGTTAATCTTTATTTTTTTTTTTAACAGATTTTTTTTTTTTCTATAGACTTTGAAGAGGAAAAAATACATTGTATCTTTTCCTCCACAGAACCAAAACAACATTGGTGCAGGCATTACACTGTTAACCATAGTAGTGATTACTGTGATTGTCTAATCACATGATCGGAATTCAGTTTTAGCTGTCACCGACAGCTCGGTCTCGGTGCTGGAACTGTGTTATAAATATTTTGATATACAGAAGTACCCTTTGAGAACTTATAGTAGTATAAGTATTTTTAAGTCCTCTATAATCTGTATAATATGTGTTCCTCCTATTTATCCTTGGCAGATACACCACAAAGAAATTTCTGCCCTCCCCTTAGGTCAGCCACTATTGGCACACTTCTGGTTGCTGGGCTCTGTCCTGAGCTGTACTTCATTTCAATGGGATGACTGCTTCAAGTCACACAGTAGCACCAGGATCCTAAATTGCATGGAGAACAGAGATTTTGCTACTGTATGTCATATTGAAACAAAGGACACAAATAAGACATAAAAGTCCTAGATTATACTTGTCTCCACAAATGCTGCAGAGAAGACATTTGTGAGATTTAATTTCTTTAGTTGTGAAGTATATTGTGCATTCCTCCATCTCTTTAGGATGAACAACGGGGGCTTCTCACCACCTGCAGCAGAGATGGCAGAGATAAACCGGATGCAGTATGAGATTGAATACACAGAGGGTATCAGTCAGAGAATGCGGGTCCCTGAAAAGCTAAAGGTTGCTCCAAGTAACACTGAATCAGATCCCAAAGCAGATGGTGACATTTCTTTCCCTGGCGCTATTATGCAAGTACCAGAGAGAATTGTTGTAGCAGGTAAATATTATACATACTGTGTTAAATTACACTTCATAGAAAACATTTAACCTGGGCTGAACATACCCTAGAAATGACATCTAGAACTAATGTCTTAAGACTCTTCTTTGGTTTTCAATGCAAGCCCATGTCTACTTGAAGGCTACATGTGTATTAAAGAGATGCTATCACCATTAAGGGCAAAAATTAACAGTGACATATAAAGGCTCCCCCTGCCCCGATCCTCACCTTGTCAGAACTCTCCTGCCTCGCTTTCTTCACAGCTGGCACCAAAATGCCTGATATTGAAGGTAAGGGGGCTAGTGACGTCACCTCTCCCACTGTCATGTAACGGTGCTTGGTCCTGGCGGCCAATTTCTAGGCCTAAGTACTCTCACTTGGGAGTAAGTCACGCTTCTGAACAGATGTGAGCACAGGGTCTGTCTTAAGCTAGCTTACAGAAAGTGTGGGGCAGTGTGCAAAAGATACCGTACACTTTATCTGCAGCTTGCATTGACACTACTCATCTGGGCAGAGGTAAGAGGAGCTTTAAGCGCTGCACTGCTATTCCAGATGTGACAAGGAAAGCATTTAAAGTGGTTTAAAGGTTTGATATTTTTTTTTATTCTTTAAATAATAAACACAACATACTTACCTTCTCTGTGCAATGGTTTTGCACATAGCAGTCCCAATTTACTTCTCTGGTCCTCAGGTCCCCTGCCAACGCTTATGGCTCCTCCCCCTTGCCAAGTGCCCCTAGAGCAAGCTGTTTTCCTGGGGGCACTCATACGTGCTTGCTCCTAAGCTGGCTTTGTGTATATGGGACACACACAGAGCATGGCATTGTCCTGCCCCCTGCTCCCATATCAGTGGCTGCTCAGCCAATGAGGAAAGAGAGACCCAGGAGAGCCGTTGCCCTCGAGCACCTCCCTGAGTCGAGATTTGGGCTCAAGTAAGTGTTAGGGGTGCTGTACACTGAACATTTTTTACCATCGTGCATAAACTGTGTGAAGGTAAAAAAAAACCTTCCCCCTTTACAACAACTTTAAAGGCAGCCAGTCTTTTACATACTTCATGTTAATTACGTGAAGTACAGTTATCCTTAAAGGAAACCTGTAGGTATGCTGATCCAGTGGCTTCAGAACTTTCTAAAGTACTGACCTAAAACAAGTTTGTACATTTAGGGGCTTTGACTTTTTTATTTGCATGCTTCTTCCAGGTCAGTCTCTCAGAAAGTGTTGAAGTCTGGAAACTATTATTTTCTGAAGTAGGTCAGTACTGGCAGCAAAGTGGACTTGTGTTTGGTGGAGACTAGATTTGACATGCTTCAACATGATAGTTACCGTATAATGACCCTGCCAAATAATTATTTTGATAATTTTATATGGTAAAATAGTTGTGTTTAAACGACAAATTGTCCATGTACCTTTATGTTGTCTGTACATAAATTATTCTACAGGTCAAAGTGAAGATGGATCTTTCTCAAGGCCTGCAGATCTGGACCTTATTCAGACCACCCCATTTGAGCCCTTGGCTCTGAAGACTCCACCACGGGTTCTGACCCTCAGTGAGAGGCCGCTAGACTTCCTGGACTTGGAAAGACCCACAGCAGTCACTCCACAGAATGAAGAGGCAAGTGTCATTGTCATAGTAAAAACAAGAAAGTTCCTCAAGCTATAAGTAGCTTCCTTTAGTTGAGGGTTTGTATACCTAGGGGTTTTCTCCTTTTTATATATAAACCACAGACAGTTATAAAAATTCTAAATTTACGTGATGAAAACAGGAAAAATATAAAGGTGTGTATGAAAAAGGATTACATATGTTAAATATTTGGGATCAGGGTTGTTTTATTGGCTGGTAACACTGCAAAAAGTGCCAGTGCTAGAAGGATTATCCCAACCTCCTTTTACTTTTGTGTATAGCATATTTATTTTGCATTAGATCAATACTCTAAATGTAATGGCCCATCTTATGACAGATCTGCTTTTCAGTTAGAACTTGATAAACATGCCACCTCATGAATGACAAGTTGGCAAAGGGATTTGACCATTCAACAGTGCCTCCATTGTATAAAGATTCTCATGACCCAGGTCTTCCATCCATATGTGGTAGATGACGATGTCTGTGTTCCTCATGGTTTGTGTGTACTGATAAACACCCCAGCAGTTTTCTAGTGAACCAGCAAGTGGGATAACTGTTGTTTCCCCTGAAAGGCTGATACTGGTCTTGTATGTCGGTTTCCCTACTTTCTTCCTAAGTTGTCCTTTAACCACTTGCCCTCCTGAGGATTTACCCCCCTTCCTGACCAGGCCATTTTTTGCATTACGGCACTGCGTTACTTTAACTGACAATTGCGCGGTCATGTAACGCTGCAGCCAAATGAGATTTACGTCCTTTTTTTCCCACAAATAGAGCTTTCTTTCAATGGTATTTGATCGCCTGCACGGTTTTTCTATTTTTTGCACTATAAAAAACAAACCGACAATTTTGAGAAAAAAAAAACAATATTTTTTACTTTTTGCTATTAAACATATCCAGTAAAAATTTTTTAAAAAATCAGATTTTGTCATACATTTAGGCCAAAATGTATTATGCTACATGTCTTTGCTAAAAAAAAAAAAAATAAAAAAAATAAAAATAATCCCAATACATGTAAATTTATTGGTTTACGTGAAAGTTTTACACACACACACTTACACTTTTTTTTTACTAGTAATAGCGGCGATCAGCGACTTATAGCGGGACTGTGGCAGGCATTCTGACACTGGGGGGAACTGACTTGGTGTCACTAACATCACCAATACAGTGATCAGTGCTATAAAAAAAAAAGCACTGGGAAGGAAGGGGTTCACATAAGGGGCGATCAAAGGGTTAAATGTGTGCTGTTTCACTCTGTCCCTGTGTCCGTGTGGCTTCACTGTAAGCACACTGCTTTGGATGGCTGTGCTATGCACAGCCATCCAAAGCAGTGTACACAAGCTGACAGGGAGGAGAACTGTATTGTTTACATACAGTTCTCCTCCCCGTCAGAGATCCTCGGCAATCACTAGGTGCCGGCAAGTAATCACCGGCGGGGACCTGGTGATCGACAGCTGATGCCACGAATGGCAGTGGAAATGCAAAATCATATATATATATATATATATATATATATATATATATATATATATATACAGTTGCAAGAAAAAAATATGTGAACCCCCTTGGGATTACGTGGAGTTTTGCATGAATTGGGCATAAAATGTGCTCTGAACGTCATCTAAGTCACAACAATAGAAGAACACAGTCTGCTGAACATAATACTACACAAACATTAGATGTTGCCATGGTTTAATTGCACATAACATGTAAACATTCACAGTGCAGGGAGGAAAAAGTATGTGAGGCCCTAGCTTAATGACTTCTCCCAGAGCTAATTGGAGCCAGGAGTGAGCCAACCTTGACTCCAATCACTGTGATGATATTGGATGTGTTGCTGACAGCTGTCCTGCCCTTAAAAAACACACACCTGTTTTGGGTTTACTGGTTTCAAAAAGCACTGTCTGATGTGAACCATGCCTCGCAGAAAAGAGCTCTCAGAAGACCTACGATCAAGAATTGTTGACTTGCATGAAGCTAGAAAGGGTTACAAAAGTATCTCCAAAAGCCTTGATGTTCATGTGTCCACGGTAAGACAGACTGTCTACAAATGGAGAAAGTTTAGCACTGTTGCTACTCTCCCTAGGCGTGGTCATCCTGTAAAAATGACTGAAAGAGCACAGCGCAGAATGCTGCATGAGGTAAAGAAGAATCCCAGAGTGTCAGCTAAAGACCTACAGAAATCTCTGGCACATGCTAACATTTTTGTTGACACATCTACAATAAGGAAAACATTAAACAAGAATGGAGTACATGGGAGGACACCACGGAGGAAGCCATTGCTGTCCAAAAAGAATATTGCAGCATGTTTGAAGTTTGCAAAAGAGCACCTGGATGTTCCACAGCACTACTGGCAAAATATACTGTGGACAGATGAAACCAAGATTGAGTTGTTTGGGAAGAACACACAACACTATGTGTGGAGAAAAAAAGGCACAGCACACCAACATCAAAACCTCATCCCCACTGTAAAACATGGCGGAGGGAGCATCATGGTTTGGGGCTGATTTGCTGCCTCAGGGCCTGGACGGATTGTTGTCATTGATGGGAAAATGAAATCCAGAGTGTATCAAGACATTTTGCAGGAAAACATACGACCATCTGTCCGCCAACTGAAGCTTCGCAGAGGATGGGTGATGCAACAGGACAATGACCCAAAGCATACAAGTAATTCAACAAAACAATGGCTGCAACAGCACAGAATACGCCTTCTGGAGTAGTCCCAGTCAGAGTCCTGACCTCAACCCGATTGAAATGCTGTGGCATGACCTTAAGAGAGCGATTCACACCAGACATCCCAAGAATATTGCTACACTGAAACAGTTTTGTGAAGAGGAGTGGTCCAAAATTACTCCAGATCGTTGTGCAGGTCTGATCTGCAACTACAGGAAACGTTTGGTTGAGGTTATTGCTGCCAAAGGAGGGTCAACCAGTTAAGTCCAAAGGTTCACATACTTTTTCCTCCCTGCACTGTGAATGTTTACATGTTATGTGCAATTAAACCATGGCAACATCTAATGTTTGTGTAGTATTATGTTCAGTAGACTGTGTTCTTCTATTGTTGTGACTTAGATGATGTTCAGAGCACATTTTATGCCCAATTCATGCAAAACTCCACATAATCCCAAGGGGTTCACATACTTTTTCTTGCAACTGTATATATATATATACATGATTTTGCGCACCTGTGCCACCATATAGCATTATTTCTGCTATAGGGCGGTCGGGAAGCGGTTAACAATGGATTATCATCTGCCAATGCAGCTTGATTGGAACACAATCAGAAATCTTTGAGGTTCGGCTGGCCAAGACTCATCAGGGGAAATAGTGATTGGCCTACTTAAAAATCCATTCTCTATTGCTGCTCTTTTTCCTCTAAAAAGCTGGCACTAGAACTTTCTACAGCATGCCTCCTCTGCCTCTCTGCATAGGCTAATCTCACAAGACTGCTTTTTGTGTTTAAGGTTGCATGTTTAATGATGGTTTTAATTTTGACTGCATATCCAAAACTCTACTTTATAGACCAGCCATGAATCTATTGTGTATGTTTATAGAAATATCTTTTTGCCAAGTACCACTTGATGTAATGGCGTGAGTGGTCCCCCACAGAAAAGTATACTTTTGCATTTTGTCATACATATACTCCTATTCTCCTAAACTTATTTGCCTGTACTTAAAGGCTATCATAGATGATTGCTAGAATTACCTGAGCTTCAAGGTATATTAAAGTGTAATTGTTTTCCTACCAACATTCTTGTCCTAAATTTCTAGGTACGTCACATGGGACGTCAGAAGAGAGAGAGGTCAGTTAGTGAAAAACACCATACGACACAATGGGCAGTTGGTCAGAAATGACTCAATGTAAGTATAGCAAGACGTCCACCTTGTGTGTATTGTACTGTAAATGTTTATCCCTGTGCTTTCATTATCTTCATGTTTCCTGAAATCATTAATTTGCCTTGTGTAACATAAAAGTCATATATTGTCCATTTCTCCTGCAGCTTCATTTTCACAAGTGTGTAAGAGCACCCTGTGGACCTTAAGGACTTGTTCACACCAGTTGTGTTGAGGCTATGCTGGCTTGAAGGGGGGGGGGTTAGGGAATGAGACTGTGTTTTATATTACACCCTCAATATGGGGTGAAATATATCCACAATTTGTCACTTTTCTTTGATGGTCTTTTATTGAACAAAAACATACTCACAAACTCAGCAAATCCTGAGTCCCCTCGCCATTCTTCTGCTGCACATCCTGTCCCACATCGCTATCCTTGTTTACTTTGTCAACAGGAGTCGTTAACGTAGTACCTGATGAGTGATGATTCACTTGGTATTGTGGGGAAGCCTTCTGTAGCCTCCTGAAATATGTGATGTCCGTATCCCAGGAGGACGCAGGAGGAGGCTTCGTTTTATTCTCACCTAGGTGAGAATCACAGCATGGCGAGGACTGACCAAGATTAGGGAAAAAAAGTTTAAAACATTTTAAAGGGTTTTATTGAATGATTCTGCATGATACTTTCTGCCAGGGTTTTCTATATAAAGGATCTGGAGTGAATGCAAGGTCACCTTTGCAGTTACAGAGACTCTGAATATAGTTGGTAGGCATTTTGGTATGTGTTCCCATAACTTTTAACTGCCACTTTTTTAAAGGGATCTTCTCAGGGTGAAAATATAGTAGCTACCACTGCTGATCTATTTTTGAGTGCATTTGCTCCTGATTTTTTTGTACCCTGTTTAGTGAGTCACTGGCAAAGATATATATGTGTCCCAACACCTCACATGCTTGCTCCAAGTCAGTGACTCACTAAGTGAGCAAGGTATAAGGATGAGCACTACAAAGCATGCACAATTAAAAACAAATCCACAATAATACATTCTATACTTTTTAACCTGACAACATAATTTGAAGTAAGAGTGGTTTGAATAAGTAAGTTCCATAAATGTCCAGTGTGACATTCCTGAGTAGTTATGGGTGTACACCTGCATGCATGATAATGTTACGTGTAGCTCATTTGATAAGGCATAATCTTTTTGTTTTAGGATTATTGATCCTTACAGGAAGGACAGTCCTTATTTTTGTCATTCTTCATTTTATTCTCTAATACTGGAGTGGGAAGTAAAATGTAGAAACAGGTTTTTGTGGGCAGCAAGAATCATACCCCAAATCGTGCTGGTTCAGCTTTTATTATTGGTTGCAGTTTTCCTTTGGAAGGTAAAAAGCTGGTAGTTGACAGCCGGCAATTTTAATAGTATATTGATGCTTAATCTTAAAGACACTGTCACATTTCCCCTTGTGACAGAGGAAGGATTGGTAGGGGAGCACAAGCAAGGTAAGTATAAATGGTTAGGGTCTCCTTTGCAGTGGCCAAAGAGAAAGTGTCCCTTTTAAAGCTTGGGCATGTTAAGGTTTTTTGTTTTTCTGCAATTCAATGATTGTAAACTATTCTCCTTTGGTGATATAGTGTTGTTTATCCAGATTACGGTGTTAGTGTGGTTTAGTATGACAACAGAGCTTCTTACATAGAATAGATTGTGAGCGGCCACACTTGCATGCCCTGATGGCTGAATTAGATAGAGAGAGAGAGAGAGACACGCACACTGCTCCAAAAAATTAAAGGGACACATTGAAACATCAGATCTTAATGGGGAAAGATATCATGCTGGATATCTATACCAATATGGATTGGGTAATGTGTTAGAAACATAAGGATGCCCCATCCTTTGATGGAAATGAAAATTCTCAACCTACAGAGGACTGAATTCAAAGACACTCCCGAAAATCAAAGTGAAAAAATGATGCAGCAGTCTAGTCCATTTTGCTGAAATTTCATTGCAGCAACTCAAAGTGGTACTCAGTAGTTTGTATGGCCGCCACATGCTTGTATACATGCCTGACATCAGGGCATGCTCCTAATGAGACGACAGATGGTGTCCTGGGGTATTTCCTCCCAGATCTGGACCAGGGCATCGCTGAGCTCCTGGACAGTCTGAGGTGCAACCTGGCGGAGTCGGATGGACCAAAACATGATATCCCAAAGGTGTTCTATTGGATTTAGGTCAGGTGAGCTTGGGGGTCATCTAATGGTATCAATTCCTTCATCCTACAGGAACTGCCTGCATACTCTCGCCACATGAGGCTGGGCATTGTTGTGCACCAGGAGGAACCCAGGACCCACTACACCAGCGCAGGGTCTGACAGTGGGTCCAAGGATTTCATCCCAATACCTAATGGCAGTCAGGGTGCCATTGTCTAGCCTGTAGAGGTCTGTGCATCCCTCCATGGATATGTCTCCCCAGACCATCACTGACTCACCACCAAAACAGTCATGCTGAACAATGTTACAGGCAGCATAACGTTCTCCACGGCTTCTCCAGACCCTTTCATGTCTGTCACATGTGCTCATGGTGAACCTGCCTTTATCTGTGAAAAGCACAGGGCACCGGTGGCTGACTTGCCAATTCTGGTGTTTAATAGTAAATGCCAATCGAGCTCTGTGGTGCCAGGCAGTGAGCACAGGGCCTTCATGCCACCTTCATGAAGTCTGTTTCTGCTTGTTTGGTCAGAGATATTCACAGCAGTGGCCTGCTGGAGGTCTTTTTGTTGTGCTCTGGCAGTGCTCATCCTGTTCCTCCTTGCACAAAGCAGATACCGGTCCTGTTAATGGGTTAGGGACCTTCTACATCCCTGTCCAGCTCTCCTAGAGTAACTGCCTGTCTCCTGGAATCTCCTCCATGCTCTTGAGACTGTGCTGGGAGATACAGCAAACCTTCTGGCAATGGCACGTATTGATGTGCTATCCTGGAGGAGTTGACTGCCTGTGCAACCTCTGTAGGGTCCAGGTATTGCCTCATGCTACCAGTAGTGACACTGACCCTAACCAAATGCAAAACTAGTGAAAAATAGTCAGAAAAGATGAGTAGGGAAAAAAATATGTCAGTGGCCTCCACCTGTAAAACCATTCTTTAGGGGGCGTCTCATTGTTGCCTGCCTAGTGCACCTGTTGTTAATTTCATTAACACCAAATCAGCTGAAACTGATTAACAACCTCCCTCTGATACTTAACTGACCAGATCAGTATCCCAGGAGTTTCATTGACTTGATGTTATATATTCTGCTTAAAAAGTGTTCCATTAATTTTTTTTAGAGCTGTGTATGTGTGTGTATCTATCTATCTATCTATCTATATATATATATATATATATATATATATATATATATTCATTTAGATCAATTATAGCTGTACAATGACAGACTGCTCCAACAGACTCATTCGGTAGCTGCAGGAATTTAGAAGAGTTTGATCTTTGCAGACAAGCATGAAGCTCTGACATGTTTAACCACTTCCCATCCGGCTGTTGTATATAAACGGCCGGACGGTGGCACTGCAGGGTCGGGTGGCTGTCTATAAACGGCCTCCCCGCACCCTGCTTGTGCGCGCTCCCTGGGACACAGTGAAACACCGATCGTCGGACGGGACCTCTGTACGAGGTCCCGATCATGTGATCACTGATTGGCCAATCAGTGATCACATGCAAAGTAGTAAGCAAGATGTCACTTGTGACGACATTGCTTACTACGTGTGAAATCTGTGAATGATCACAGAGGTCACATGGTACAAGGCTATTCACAAAAGCCTTGTACCATGTGACAAGCTGTGAGCAATCACAGCTCACTCAGTACTTCTCAATGACTGCAAGAATGCACACAGAGAGAAAGAGAAATGGTTGCTTTTACATCCTATATGGGTGTAAAAGCAATCAGTGTAAAAAAAAAAAAAAAAAAATCGTCATCACCCCCCACAAGTAGTACAGTGTCACCATGGTGACACTGTACTGCTAGGGTGACCGTATGTAAAAAAAAAAAAAATAATATAAAAATGTAAAAAAATTTTTTAAAAATTATAATTTTTGCTTATAAACTAATTTGGATTTTTTTTTTTTTTTTTACTAAAAAGATAACGGAATAAATTTTGGCTAAGATTTATGATGAAATATTATTTATTTGCAAAATTTTATAAAAAAAACACTTTTTTTCAAAATTTTTGGACATTTCATTTACATAGCAAAAAAAAATACAAATCCCAGTGGTGAATAAATATCACCAAAATAAAGCTTTATCTGTCTCAAAAAAATGGTAAAAAATTCATTTGGGTACAGTGTTGCATGACCGCGCAATTGTCATTCAAAGTGTGATAGCGCTAAAAGCTGAAAATTGGCCTGGACAGGAAGGGGGTAAAAGTGTCCGGACAGGCAGTGGTTAATGATTTATTTATTTTTTTTGTATGGGCTTTCCTACTGGTTTTCGTTTTATAATGCTTGTTAAGTACATAGTGGAACATACAGCCTTTTCTTAAGAACAGAAACATGCAGGACTTTGCTACAAAGTTTGTTGAAATCTGAGCAATGTACATGGATCGCCCCGAGTGGATTTTTTTTTTTTTTTTTTTTTCTCTCATTTTAGGAATTAGGTTAAGAGTTACTGTCTGCTTCTGTATGGTATAGCCTACACATAAGGGATACACAGGTGTACCTCTGTTTACGTAATTTTTGGTTCACGAATGAAAATCCATTGAAAATAATGCCTCGGTTTACAAATTTTTTATAAATTGTTTTCGCAATACGAAGTGTATTTCGGTGCTGATTTTTAAATGCAATTGCTGGCTTTTTTTTTTCTTCACTATAGCTCACAGAATTAGCTAAAAGGAAACATTGTTTCTTTTAACTTGGGGAAATAAACTAAAAAGAAACTTTCTTTATTTTAGCTGGGGGTAAAGTGAACGCTGAATCTCTGAGCTATATGGATTTGGTCTGGTATGGATTTTGAGGGGAACTTCCACTCCAAAATTGAAAACAAAATATGGCTTGCGTGTCTCCCCCAAAATCCATACCAGACCCTTATCCAAGCATGATGGGGACTAGGGCCTCTTCCCCACAACCCTAAGGGATAAGGGTCTGGTATTAATTTTGGGGGGGCCCACGCCATTTTTTTTTTTTCTTTTTTTAAACATTTTGGCGTGGGAGTTCCCCTCAAAATCCATACCAGACCCGAAGGGCTTGGTATGGATGGGGAGGGGGGACCCCATGCCGCTTTTTTATTTTTTAATTGCCGGCAATTCTTTTACATTCAGCTGTCAGTAGGGAACCCCGGTGAGAGCTGAAACATTAACATATGGTTGTCACTACTAAAATACCACATGACTTGATAAAGTAACTAATGCCGTATTTTAGTAACGTTTACTTTTTTTCTGACCTCCAGAACAGATTAATTGGTTTTCAGTGCATTCCTATGGGAAACGGCGTTTCGGTTTATGAATTTTTCGCAATACGAAAAGTCCCGCAGAACGAATTAAATTCGTAAACCGAGGTATGCCTGTATATGAAACCGTCTATTTCAGTGAGCAGATACCGGTGACATTGGAGGCTAAATTGGGAAAATAAATGTATTGCCTTATTTGCTATGCTGTCTGGCAGGATGGGGGAATTACAGGATTGCCAGAATCAAAATGCATGTTCTTTGGCAGATAAGAGAGTTCACATATAAGTATCTCTGCTGTGTGTTTAGCTGTTTGCCTGGTGTGAAGCTGTAAGTGATTTTTTTTCTCCTGGTGTCCTGATGTCTTGATGCAGCCAGCACCAAGCTTCTGTGCTTGACTTTGTGGGTATGCACATTGCAAAACACTCGCCAACAGCATGCGCAGCAAGACCAGTATTTTCTGTTCAGCTAGCTGCTCAGACATCTGACCTTGAGCTCCGTGACTGTCTATATAAATGTATATCTTATGTGTTGAACTGAGCAGCACTTAACTCTTATGAAGTGATATTCTAAACGGTCTGTTTCTTACTAGGGGCGAGCTCAGGCATGTCGAACACAAGTCCCAACCCATCTAAGCTATCCCAACAGGAAGCTATCAAAGCCAACAGCCAATCATTGGAGGCGAAGGCATTCCCCGCCCCCCCAACCATGTATACGTGCGGCTGTTGAGTGAGGAATGCCTCTGCTACATATGATTGGCCATTGGCCTTGGTGTCTGAACGTGCCTGAGCTCATCAGTGTGCCTTAGCATTACCTGTACTCTGACTTTAATTTAGGGAATTCTAGGTTGAAACATGGACCTCTTAGGAGATCACAACTACTACTACTATTATTATTATTATTATTATTATTATTTTAGTAAAGTACTCTTGTTGCCTGCCTCTTCCTTGTGTTGTATCCATTGCATTGCTAGCTTTAGTATTCTTTGGTGAGTGCATGAATTAAGTGTTGCCCAGCTTCTCTCATTGCTTCATGTTTAATTTTTTAGTGGTCTCATTTCCTTTTTTGTGAGCCTTGCTCTCCCATTTATTTTAACCACACTTTTATCTATATTACTATTCTCTCTAACCCTGTCACTTTTTATTTACTCTTCTCTGTCCATACTTATTTCATAATATTCTTCCTTCCTCCTCCCACTGTTGCCTGTCCTCAGTGATTTTTCTTTTGCTCATATTGTGCTTCTCCTTCCATGCCGCCTTTTCATGTGACCACCACGCACAGTCACACACAGTCTGACTTCTGTGTTTCTCTTTGCTACTCTCCTCCGGTCAGCCCGACTCCACCTGCCCCCACAGGCCGCCCGTGCCCTGCTCCCTCACCCCCTGCAGATGGAGCAGATCTTTTCTCTGCCCGTGGCATTCTGTCGCTCATCCAGACCTCCACCCGCAGGGCTTATCAGCAGGTCCTTGATGTGCTGGATGACAACCGCAGGTGAATGTCTTCCCTCTTCTGTCTCCTAATACCCCTGTCGCCCAAACATGCAGTGCTTCCAGTAATTAATATATCAGTGTGGACCCTTGTGATTCCTATACATGTTGCAATCGTTGAGTGACTCCATGATTCCTGCCCTTCTTGTCTTCACGCCTTCCTTTTCTGTCCTTGTTTCCCATCCTGAACACTCCAGGCCAGTCTTGCGTGGAGGGTCTTCTGCCTCTGTTCCTGCTCCCCATCATGATAATACCAGGTAATTTGAGTGTAATTCCCTCCAGTGTGTTAACTAACAAGCTATATGCTTCTAAATCTGGATTGCGTGGCAGCTGCAAATTCTGCTGTTTGTGATTTAAGTGCTGCTTTTGTCTGTTGCAGTTTAACTGATCACCTAATAAAACAAACCTAAAAGAATGTGACAATTTGTTAGAAACCATTTCTTTGCAAGTTGGGGTATTGAAGGGTCACTCACAAAAACAGATGTTTCTGTTATGGGTAAATTCTGTTAGCCTGAATAACTCACTGATGTCTTCTATTTCTTAGTGACACCAGCTGTGAGATCTTCCCTACTGGGGTTCATTACTGTAAAGAATCTCACTTCTCCTGTAGCGGCAAGGGGAGTTGTACACTTCTGTGTTCTGTGTAATGTAAACAAAATGGTACATTCCAACAGACTTCCTTGTTGTGGCTGTAGGTAACGCTAGAAATAGAGGTCTTTCCCTGGACATCAGAGAGATAGAAGAAGCTAGTGGATGATTCCACCAACAGGTTATTACCTAATAATTTCGTTTTGGTTGGAATGACCCTTTAATATCTTCATACTATTGCATATTTCAGATGTTTAGGGGTAACTGCCCTGCATCAGCATTTCACTGCTTGTTTTCCCCCACAGAATAAAGTCAGTTTCAACAAGCAGGTTTGTGTAAGCGTTATATTTAATACACTTACTATCATTTTGTGATGACACATAATAATGTGCTACACATATATTGTCCATTTTCATGCATAGCAGATTCTCAAACTGTCATTCATACCCATGTATACTGTCACTTCTGTAGGTATGCAGTTGCATCATTAGACTCTACTATGGATGGGACACCAGATGACCTGACTTTAGTGGATGCAGCTTCACTTAGAAGACAGGTACTTTCCTACTATATTCTGGGTGCATTTTCCATGCCTTTGTAATGTTTAGCAATGTTTCTTATCATTATCCTTACCAGAGCAATGTGAAACATACAGGTGCATCTCAATAAATTAGAATATCATCAAAAAGTTAGTTTTTCAGTAAAGAAATTCAAATAGTGAAACTCGTATATTATTCATTAGATTCATTACACACAGAGTGATATATTTCAAGCATTTCTTTCTTTTAATTTTGATGATTATGGCTTACAGCTAGTGAAAACCCAAAATTTTCAGTATCTCAGAAAATTAGAATATTGTGATAAAGTTCAATTTTGTAAACACATGGGGGTTTATTTACTAAAGCTGGAGAGTCCAAAATCAGACTCCCTTCTGCATAGAAACCAATCAGCTTCTAACCTCAGCTTGTTCAATGAAGCTTTGGCAATGAAACCTGGAAGCTGATTGGTTTCTATGCAGACGGGCAGTCTGATTTTGGACTCTCCAGCTTTAGTAAATCCCATGGTGTCACACTGCAATCAGTTAATTAACTCAAAACACCTGGTTCAGTAGGTTAAACAATCACGGAGAAGACTGCTGACTTGACAGTTGTCTAGAAGACAGTCATTGACACCCTCCATAAGGAGGGAAAGTCACAAAAGGTCATTGCTAAAGAAGCTGGCTGTTCACAGAGCGCTGTACCTAAGCATATTAATGGAAAGTGGAGTTGAAGGAAAAAGTTTTGTAGAAAAAGGTGCACAAGCAACAGGGATAACCGCAGCCTTGAGAGGATTGTGAAGCAAAGGACATTCAAGAATTTGGGCGAGACTCACAAGGAGTGGACTATGGCTGGTGTCGAGAGCCTCCACACACAGACGTATCCAGGACATGGGCTACAATTGAAGCATTCCTTGTGTCAAGCCACTCCTGAACCAGAGACAACATCAGAAGCATCTTACCTGGGATAAGGAGAAAAAGGACTGGATTGTTGCTTAGTGGCCCAAAGTCCTATTTTCGGATTAAAGTAACTGTTGCATTTCATTTGGAAATTAAGGTCCCAGAGTCTGCAGGAAGAGTGGAGAGGCACAGAATCCAAATTCTATGCAGTCCAGTGTGAAATTTCCACAGTCGGTGATGATTTGGGGAGCCATGTCATCTGCTGGTGTTGGCCCACTGTGTTTTATCGAGTCCAAAGTCAGCGCAGCCCTCTACCAGGCACTTTATGCTTCCCTCTGCTGACCAGCTTTATGGAGAGGCTGATTTCATTTTCCAGCAGTACCTGGCACCTGCCCACGCTGCCAAAAGTACCAATACCTGGTTTAATGATCATGGTATCACTGTGCTTGATTGGCCAGCAAATTCGCCTGACCTAAACCCCATAGAGAATCTGTGGGGTATTGTCAAGAGGAAGATGAGGGACACCAGACCCAACAATTCAGATGAGCTGAAGGCTGCTATCAAAGCAACTAGGGCTTCCCATAACACCTCAGCAGTGCCATGTGCTGACCGTCTCCATGCCACACCACATTTATACAGTAATTCATGCAAAAGGAGCCTCAACCAAGTATTGAGTGCATACTAAACTGTATGTGGACATACTTTTCAGTAAGCCAGCATTTCTGTATTAAAAATCCTTTTTGTTTTTATTGGTCTTATCTAATAATTTAATTTTCTGAGATACTGAATTTTGGATTTTCACTAGCTGTAAACCATAATCATCAAACTTAAAAGAAAGAAATGCTTGAAATATATCACTCTGTGTGTAATGAATCTATATAATATAAGAGCCTAATTGTTTTATATTTCTTTACTGAAATAAATTAACTTTTTAATATTTTAATTTATTGAGATGCACCTGTCTATGCACATTTATAGAGAACTTTCATTAGCTGAACAAATCTAGGCTTGCACATAAACATGCTCACTGTACTGGTTTTGTTAAGTCTCCAGCAAAATGCCCCGGTGACCTACAGACTACCAACTTCTTTTGGTCTGCCCACTCTTGACAGGGTATGGATACCTCCTGATATCACCTGCCTCCAGTCCATAACCTTGGTGTCACAAGCAACCAATCATTGTCTGAGCAGATAAAAAGAAGGAAATAGTGGATTTGTGCTGCCAATGCACTGGCAGACCTGTTTCCAAAGGCTTTGGAAAACCAGTAAAGTAATAAACTCACACTTAAATTAGTAAGTGAAAAGACAAAAAACTTTTTTAGAAATATATGTAATCTGCTTCCACCCAGTGAATGAAAGGTGCATAAGAGCACTAGGTTACCAATATTGAGGTTCAAATGTATGGCTCTATAGTGGATAAATAATGTAATTATGGCTTGTATAGTAGTTTCCTTTTTTGCAGCGGGGTAACCTAAAATAACAATTTGAAATGTTTCATTTGCCAGGGATGTTTGCATTAAGTGTTTAATTTTTTTGTACATAATATTTAAATGAAGTTTCATTTCATGATTCATAGATTATCAAGCTGAACAGACGGCTTCTTCTTTTGGAAGAGGAGAACAAAGAACGGGTTAGGAGAGAGATGGTCATGTACTCCATCACAGTGGCCTTTTGGCTACTCAACAGTTGGTTCTGGTTTAGACGTTAAAAAACTTCTCTACTCGTTAACCTGTGAGGAGCTGACCATACAGAGAAATATAAAGAGAACTACCAAACCTGAAAAAAAAAACTGTCTTGGATGATGCAGATCCAGGTTCGTGGCACAATTTTTTGCCAGCAGCAGGAATCTAGCTAAAAACACTGTGCATTCCTGCTCCTGGTTTTACTCCCTGAAACCCAGCTGGCTCCCTGCATAGTGTGCATGCAACTCTGACTGTGATAGGGTTCAAGTAAATTACATATATTCATTCTCAAGAAGGGTCTGTTTCATCACTGAGAGCAAATTTTAATTCATTTTTATATATGGCATGCTAGAATCATTCCTGACCTGTAGGAGTATAATGACCTTGTCTTGTAGGTTTATGTGATGAGCCGAAGAAAAATTTGAAATGGGCACATGAAACATTGTAGAGCAACTCAACCTAAAGTGTATTGATGCAGATTGGGTCTACTGGGGTTTGGCCCAATACCCTATCAGGCTGTTGAAGGTTTCTGGGACTCCAGCAAGGTGAGCTTTCCCTAGCTGAGTCCCGGCACTATTATCGTTCTACTTTACAATGAACAGCTCTGTTATTAGTGTCTCCTCAAATCTCCATATGTTTCTATAGGGAACCCAGCACGCTGCATGTGACATAATGACTACCAGGTGGGCATCTCTCTGGCACAGTCCTATACAACATTATAGGGAATCTGCCACAAAGCTAAAAACACCTATATGTTAAAGCTGAACTCCAGGTATATACACAGTTTAAAATTCACTTAATGTGTATTAAATACAACTAATGTAAATATCTTCATCTGTCTTGATATTGGCTTTTTTTTAAAACACCAGTTTAACAACATTCTGACTGTGAAAGCTTGGTATTCTAAGCTTATCAGGGATTGCGACTTACACTTGTTTTGACAAGGAACATAATTACAGTAAGAGAGAATAGAGAGCTCACCAGTCTGCTTTTTTACTGACCCAACTACAGGCAAGGGGCAGGAAAGTGACCTCGCTGCTTTGCCGAATTACAGTAGAAATAAGTGAGGTTACCTGTGCTAAATCTCAGGACTGAAAAGACAAAATTCCAAATCCTTTGGCAAATGAAATCTCTCCATATATGTATTAAAACTGGTATTTGGTGATTTACCTGGAGTTCATCTTACAAGTGAATGTAAATTCAAAACTTTTTTTTTTTTTGGACAAAATATAAAAGGATTAGTCATATTTTATTGCTCTCTGTGTCCTCACTTTGGCGATTCACTCCTCTATTTATCCTGGAGACCATTGCCTCAGGTATGAAAAGTGACAGAGAACACAGAATATTTTAGTTTTAACTGAAACAGGCAATAGGGGGTATTGTTCCAATGGGGAAACTTGTTCTGGTGAATTTTTTCTTAGAAGGGATATCCTGTAGGTTTCAAGATACATCTTTCTACTTCTTGCTGTGCCTTTGGTACAAGAAGTGAAGGGAGATCTCTGCTGGAGGACACAGACTAAAAAAAAAAAAAAAAAACTGACTTGAGGTCTGACCATGCCCAAATGTTTTGACTTTACATACATGTATGTCTCAACTAGAAGCTGCCCCGGATTTCTAGTTTGAATGCTAGTTCCAGGCCAGCGATGTGGTTGGAGTACTATATTACATGGTCTGGGAGTCATAGAATGGGATCTTTGGCATCTTGCAGTGTTTTTTTACTTTCTGAAAAGTTTCCTTTAATGACTTTGTAGAAGTTCCAACTAGTCACATTTAAAACAGCAAACCATTTTAGGTTGGATTGATTTTAAAAAGGTGCTTAGGTACAATAAAATTATCTTTATAACAGACCTTGTAAATATTTCTTGCTATTGCCGCATTTATTAGTTCAGATTTCAAAGTTCAGATATTATTTTGCCACTATAAAATGAAAGACATAGTTTATAGCACAACAAATTGGTTCCATGGACATGTTTGGACAGACACTGGAAGGGGGAACAGTACATTTCCCACTTATTCATGGTGAAATGTACCACTTATTGCAAAGATTTATTGGAAAAGCGTTTGTACAATTTAGTAATGTATGTGCCTAATGCCTTTTTTGTGCATTCACTAAATGGTCTGCGTGCTGTAACTGATGTTTCAAAATATAGTTGAAGTGTTTATTCCATCGGTCTTTAGAAAATGCAAGACTTGAGTTACCTAATACGACCACAGAGGACTAAAACTCCAGTTAATGTCGTTCTTCTCCTGTCCATTTTGTGTCTTAATGAAAACTGGGTTTAATGAAAGGAAATGTCTACTGTGAAAATACATAGGTTGTCACTTTTTTTTTTTTCTTTCTTTTTTTTTTTTTTTAATATTTATTGCGATAGGCTTTAATACTTTTAGGCTCTGACTTAGAACATGTATATAGTAGTGGTGCACCAAAATGAACATTCTGGTGCCGATACCGAAAATTCAGAATGCATGTTGCCGAAAACCAAACCGTAAGCAAAATGTCTGCATATGTGGGGGTGGGGAGGCTCCAATTTTTTTTGTATTTTTTCTACTTTCATGTATATTTTTATTTTTTTTTAACTTATGATTTTATTGCTATCACATAGGGAACCAATAGTCCCCTATGTGATAGCATATGAGTGACAGGTCCTCTTTGTAAGGGGGGGAGGGCAGTGTGTGCAAGGAGGGGAGCAGTGTATACAGAGAGGCTCCCTCACTGGCTGTCACTATAAGTCAGTGCCGTTTTTTTAAATGCAATTGCTGGCTTTTTTTTTTTTTTAACTATAGCTCACAGAATTAGCTGTCAACTTTTCCCAGAGCTAAAGAAAACTGTTTCTTTTATCTCAGAAATAAACTAAAAGGAAACTTTTTGTTTCTTTTATCTGGGGGGAAAGTGACAGCTAATTCTGTGAGCTATAGTGAAAAAAAAAAAAGCTGGTAATTACATTTAAAAACTGGCACTGATGTGACAGCCAGCCACTGTATACACTGCTCCTCTCCTGCCTTTCTCAGCCGCCCCCTCACATCTGCAGTACACACAGTCTCCTGCATCAGCTAAATTTTTCTTATCGGCAAAATGCCGATAGGGTTTATTTTAGGACGATGTGTTTGGGTGGCCAACGTTTCGGTGCATCCCTAGTATATAGATTGAGTTCTTACTTTCGTCTAGTTTCACTCACTACATGCTTGCTCTGTGTCAGTAACTCAGAGACAGTCAGTCATTTGCAGCCTACAATTTCAGTTCAGGGATCCATTTAACTAAATGGTGGAGAAAATCAGTAAAGTGAGAGACTTGACTTCTAGGAGAAAAAAATTCAAGAAATTATAGTCTTCTCTTGGTCCTCAACATCAATGCGGGTTTCATATAAGGCCCTTATATTTGCAAGTGACAGAATTTTTGTTAATCAGTAAATCAGAATTTATATTTTTTTAGATGTTGTTTTTCATCAAATAAATTAGCATACCAGATGGTGCTTGTGGCAACATTGTAAAAAAAATTGGGAGCACATAGTGGCATAATAATGCCGAAATGTTAAGATGATATCTAACTTCAGTTTGTTTGCTCCAAGTGACCAAACACACTACATCATTTTAGACAGCTTAGCAATTTCACGTGATTTACGGTATTGGATGAGGCCCCATAGGTTTACACATGTGATGAAATGGTGTCACATCACATCTTGTCCCTCGTTTTATCAGGCTCTAATTTGGCTCTCCAAAAACAAAACAGTGAATGGGGCAAATAGGAAAAATGGCACCACCTAGGGAAATGTAGTATACACCATAATATGCAAAGGTCCAAAATATTAGTCTCTAAAAGTTACAAAGCTCAATAAACACCTATGGCTGCTATCACGAGAGTGAAGCAATCTCTGTGGATGTAAAAAAAAAATGGGGGTGGGGGGCTTTGAGTTTAGTATTTGGACAGTGTTATTGTTAAAATCACCAATGGCAACTCCTCTTAGGAAGTAGAAAGCTCACTCTTCACATATATACACGGCCCTTGTGGTTTCCATCTTTGCCTGTCACTCTAGGGGTGGTCCCTGTCCATATTATGCGGCTTCAGCATTGACAGATGGCCTCTTTGCTTTCGGAGTTCCGATGGAATGCACTGCTGGGTGTAAGTAACACCACATTTGGAGGACAGCAGGGCACGGCTACGTGTTTCAAAGCTTGCACGCTCTTTTCCCAAGCCATCAGCCTCGAAAAAGGAGTGCGCATGCTCCAAAATATCTAGCCACACCCTGCTGTCCTCCCAAAATGACCGTTCCAGTGGGAGTCCGGAAGCAAGGCCATCTATCAGAACGACAGGCAGAAATGGAGACCACAAGGTGTGCGTGTGTAACTGTCCTAATATTACACTCAGAGGCGCTCTCCCCCTTCCTCCCCTCTTTTCTTTTCTAATTTGGCCCTGTCTGTTTCTTGGACATTGCATGGCGTAAATGACAAACTAATCATATCACACACAAGACTTGGGCCCATTTGGTCACTACATGCTACAGGCATGTAAAAATGCTGTGCAAAGGATTAGAGAAGGTCTGTAGGTGTAGAGCGATTGGGAGAAAGGATATGCTTTAAACTTTTTTTTTTTTTGTAAGGCTTTAACATTAGCGATGATAGGTTATATTATATAGTATGTTAATGTGTATTGCAGGATGTTTGAATTAAATTAAAATATGACATGACCCAGAATAAATTGTTGACATGCCCATACTTTCAGAGGTCTCATTTTTATGCACCAGGCAACACTTAAAATGCAATGCACGCTGGGTCTTGGTTTTTGTGTGATGTACTTAAGTTCCTGAAGCTTTTTGTGTACAATACTTTTATAACTTATTTATCTTCTTGTTTTGATTGTGTGCTCTATTTGTTTTATTACATTTTTTATGTCCTGCTTGTCGAGTACATATACTTCAACAAAGATGATGTAACTATACACTAGTCAAATAAAATCTAAACACACAGCTATTTGTGTTATTGATTCACTGTGGGCAGTGTGTGCATATACTGTGCGGTTATAATGAAGGCA